TGAACCTGTTATGAAACTTGAGGCTCCTATACAGTGTAGTGGTGAGTGTACAGTGTAGTAGGTTTAAATGAAGTGTTTGGCCACTAGCTGAACCTGTTATGAAACTTGAGGCTCCTATACAGTGTAGTGGTGAGTGTACAGTGTAGTAGGTTTAAATGAAGTGTTTGGCCTCTAGCTGAACCTGTTATGAAACTTGAGGCTCCTATACAGTGTAGTGTTGAGTGTACAGTGTAGTAGGTTTAAATGAAGTGTTTGGCCTCTAGCTGAACCTGTTATGAAACTCGAGGCTCCTATACAGTGTAGTGGTGAGTGTACAGTGTAGTAGGTTTAAATGAAGTGTTTGGCCCCTAGCTGAACCTGTTATGAAACTCGAGGCTCCTATACAGTGTAGCGGTGAGTGTACAGTGTAGTAGGTTTAAATGAAGTGTTTGGCCCCTAGCTGAACCTGTTATGAAACTTGAGGCTCCTATACAGTGTAGTGGTGAGTGTACAGTGTAGTAGGTTTAAATGAAGTGTTTGGCCCCTAGCTGAACCCTGTTATGAAATCGAGGTCTTGCCACTATGTGGTGGTGAGTGCACAGTGTAGTAGGTTTAAATGAAGTGTTTGGCCCCTAGCTGAACCTGTTATGAAACCGAGGCTCCTATACAGTAGTGGTGAGTGTACAGTGTAGTAGGTTTGGTTAGCATTTGGCCCTAGCTGAACCTGTTATGAAAATCGAGGTCTTCTACACAGTGTAGTGGTGAGTGCAATAGTGTAGTAGGTTTAAATGAAGTGTTTGGCCTCTAGCTGAACCTGTTATGAAACTCGAGGCTCCTATACAGTGTAGTGGTGAGTGTACAGTGTAGTAGGTTTAAATGAAGTGTTTGACCCCTAGCTGAACCTGTTATGAAACTCGAGGCTCCTATACAGTGTAGTGGTGAGTGTACAGTGTAGTAGGTTTAAATGAAGTGTTTGGCCCCTAGCTGAACCTGTTATGAAACTTGAGGCTCCTACACAGTGTAGTGGTGAGTGTACAGTGTAGTGGTGAGTGAACAGTGTAGTAGGTGTAGGATGTGTACATGAGGTGTAGGATGTGTACATGAGGTGTAGGAGGTGTACATGAGGTGTAGCTAGTATACAATAGGTTTAGGTAGTGTTAATCCACATGAAATCCAACAAATCCAGACTAAATCCACTTATGTTTACTCTTACACGAACGCCTACCTAAAAAAAAAACGATAATAAATCCGGATTCTATTCACGAACAGGAGAGGCAGAGTTTATAGAGCTGATGCCTCGTATATCACAGGAGCATTACGGGTGGTTCGTCACGTCGACACAAGCCAATGCAACTATCGCCAGTTGATGCTACTGCTGCTCCAGGAGTGTGTGTGTGTGAGTGTGGGGTGGGAGGGAGGGTGTGGGGGTGGGGGCAGGGGTAGAGGGAGGGGGGAAGGGAGGGTGGGGTAGCAGGGGGTGTGTGGGGGAGAGGGAGGGGGGGAAGGGAGGGTGGGGGTGTGGGGCAGGGTGTGTTTGTGGGGGAAGGGGAGGGTGTGGGGAGGGGGGACAGGTGTGTTTGTGGGAAGGGGGGTGGGGAGGGGGGGGACAGGTGTGTTTAGGGGGGAAGGGGAGGGGTGGGGGAAGGGGAGGGGTGTAGGGGTGGGGCAGGGGTGTGTGTGGGGAAGGGGAGGTGGAGGGGGGGACAGGGGTGTGAGTGTGGTGGAGGGAGGTGTGGAGGGGGAACAGGGGTGTGTTTGTGGGGGAAGGAGGGGGGTGTGTTTGTGTGGGAAGGGGGGGTGTGGGAGGGGGGACAGGGGTGTGTTTGTGGGGTGGAGGGAGGGTGTGGGAGGGGGGCAGGGGTGTGTGTGGGGGAGAGGGAGAGGGAGGGTGCGGTGTGTGTGTGTGTGTGTTTTTGTCTTAACCCACCCACAGTTCATCTAACCCACCTTACCCACCTGGAACAGCCCACCTAACCCACCTACACCCTCAAAATAGAACCACCATTAAGTCTAACTCACTTAATCTCAACCCTACCTTAAAATTCACCTAATCCACCCCCACCGAACCCACTTTACCCACCTGGAAGAGCCCACCTAACCCACCTACACCCCTGTACAGGCCGTGAGCGGTGTGGTGACCTTCCTAAGTGCCAAGGACATCACGGGCGTAAACAACATCCAAGTTATGGCTACACCCGAGTTCGCCCAGCCAGTAAGTAACCGTGTTTGTCCTCTTTTTTAACCTTTTTACGATTTTTGGCCTTTTTTGACCTTTTTGGCCTTTTTTGACTTATGGGAACTTTTGTGAATATTTTAAAGTGAGTTTGAGTAATATTAGAACTTTCCCAACTATCTATCTATCTATATAACCACCAATCCCAAAACAGCTCTTTGCCGAGGGACGAACGGGGTACTACGGCCAGCCAATCGGATTAATCGTTGCAACCACCACCGAAATCGCCCAATCAGCAGCCAGCTTAGTAGTGGTGACCTACGATGACCCCAAACCACCTGTGTTGACCATAGATGAAGCCCTCAAGAAGCCTCTACCACCGGGACAGTTTGACCCCTTTGTAGAGGGTGATGTTGATGGTGAGAGAGAGTGAGAGAGAGTGAGAGAAAGAAAGAGAGCCTTCTGGTAGTCATTTAAAGGCACCAATCATAGAACATCCTTATCAAAACAATATACATTAACCAATCACATCACTCCATATCCATGACGTAAAATCTCTCAACCAATCATATAACTCCTAATCCATGATCTCACATCTCATAACCAATCACATCACTCCATATCCATGACGTCAAATCTCACACCCAATCATATAGCTCCAAATCCATGACCTCACTTCTTATAACCAATCACATCACTCCATATCCATGACGTCAAATCTCATAACCAATCACATCACTCCATATCCATGACCTCACATCTCATAACCAATCACATCCTCCATATCCATGACATCAATCTCACAACCAATCCTTAACTCCAAATCCATGACCTCACCTCGCAACCAATCACATCACTCCAAATCCATGACGTCACCAAAATAACCAATCACGTGTCTTCCTCAGCTGGATTCGCAGCATCTACGCATATCATTGTGAGGAGAATTACGTCTGATGGACAATATCACTTCCCACTTGAAGAACCAGGTGAGTATAGCGTATATTTATGACGTATTAATGACGTCATCAATAAACACACGCAAGGTGCATAACCTCTCTTTTAACGAACACCTTTCTAAAAAGGGTACAGTCCTTTATGGAGGTTTTTACATCTACTAGACCCCGATATAATAACAGGTTGACAATATGACGATAAAGACCAAAAATACGTCAGGTAGACCAAAAATAAATCAAAATTTTGGTAAAAACCGTCAAGGTAGGGGCCAAAAATACGTCAGGTAGACCAAAAATGCGTGGGTAGACCAAAAATCGTCAGGTAGACCAAGAAAATACGTCCAGTGAGACCAAAAATACGTCAGGTAGACCAAAAATACGACAGATAGACCAAAAAATACGTCAGGTAGACCAAAAAATACGTCAGGTAGACCAAAAATACGTCAGATATAGACCAAAAATACGTCAGGTGAATAAAAATACGACAGATAGACAAAAATACGTCAGGTAGACCAAATTAAGACAAATGTGAATTCATTAAATAAAATTACAATTAAGAAGCCAAAAACAAACCTTAATTTAACATTATATTAACACAACAACTTAACATTTATTTAACATTACAGGTGACGTTAGCCATACCTACAGAAGATGGCTTAGACGTTCATGCTGGTAGCCAATGGATAGCTGGTACTCAGATGGCTATTGGGCAGGTGCTTGGGATACCAGATAACAGGTGGGTAATAGTAGTAGTAATAGTAATAGTAGTAGTAGTAGTTGTAATAATAATAATGATAATAATAACAGCAAACCTAATCAACCAATCCCTAATCCACAGCGTCAACGTAACAGTGAAGCGGATTGGTGGTGGATTCGGTGCCAAGATTGACCAATGTAACATCATATCTACAGCTGCTGCTTTGGCTGCTACCACAATTCGAAAACCAGTTAAGATTGTGGTTGATTTAGATACCAATATGACAATATATGGTGGTAGGGATCCATTCTACTCCACTTATAAGGTAGGTGATGGTGGTAGTTGTGGTGGTAGTAGTAGTAGTAGTAGTAGTAGTAGTAGTAGTAGTAGTAGTAGTAGTAGTAGTAGTAGTAGTAGTAGTAGTAGTAGTAGTAGTAGTAGTAGTAGTAGTAGTAGTAGTAGTAGTAGTAGTTGTTGTCGTAATAATAATAATAATAATAATAATAATATCAGACCAAAACAAGCCCTCCCTCACCTCTCCTCCTTCTCCAGGTAGGCGTAGACGACCAGGGCCTCCTACAAGCAGTTCAGGCAACCATAACAAGCGATTCTGGTTACACTGGCACAGACCCTAACTGCCCATTAGCCCCGGATTGCGTACCATCTTGTTACGCTTGTCCCAACTTTCTCGTGACGCCGCAGTTTGTTTTGACGAATACGTCGTGTAATACCTACTGTAGGACCCCAGGTGAGTGGGTGGATAGATGGATAGATGGATAGCTAGATAGATAGATAGATAGATAGATAGAACCTAACCTAACCTAACCTAACCTATATTTCAACAATACTATAATAGATCTGAGGCAAAAATATGTAAATAGATGAATTAATTTTTAAGATGAAAAAAAAACAATAACAAACTCTCTCTCTCTCTCTCTCTCTCTCTCTCTCTCTCTCTCTCTCT